GCCGGTGCCAGAAGTGGTTGATAAATCACCGATCGCTCCAATAAAATGCTCAAAAAAGACAGACACTTCCAGTAACGTTACTTGGATGTTCTTAACTCTGACCTTCAGGGAGCACAGACACAAAGAATAATATGCAGATCCTGTTCATTGTAAAGTATGTAAATAAAACCACTTCAAACAACAGGACTACATGCTTTCTGGACATCTGCAGGTTTGGTTAAGCAAGCAGGCTTGTGCATTGTCCTTTAAGTCGGTGTAGGCTTGTCTCTTGGGTATCAGGTCCAATGCTAGTTTGGGCAGTAGCTGCAAAGTGAATGAAACCTGTCTGGCTCTTTTGCTTGTGAGCCTGCAGGGAAGCTGTGGGTGGCAGAGGGTGTTTGGCTGCTCCGCCAGTGGGGAGGTAGTTAAAGTTCCTGTGTAACCCCTTCTTGATGGGGAGCTTCATTGCTGCAACAGGCATACACTGGGGTAAGTAGTGCCGACCCCAGGTCAGCCAGGATTCAAAGCTTGCCACCCTCTCAGTGACTCCTTCACTTTGATTTGCTTTTTGGTGTCATCCTGCCCAGCGTTACCTTTGAAAGCCTATGTGCACAGCTCCATCCATCAGCACTTCTCTCCCAGGCTTGATCCGTGATGGGCTCTGGTCTTTTTCTCTGCTTTGGTTAGCAAGGACCTCCTTTCCTCTGTGCCTCCCTTGCAGCTTCTCTGCATGTACCCTCGCTGCCACCAGTGGGGTAAGCTTCCAGCCCACCAGTGGGGTGACCACGTTCATGTCTGCCAGGGCCACTCTCCCTTCCTCTGCCTCCGAAGGAACGGCTCCCTGGGAGCAGTGGTCAGCACAGCAGGCAGCAGATAGGAAGTCATCCCTGGGATCTCTGAGTTTCTTTTGGAAGTGACCTGGCTTGTGTGGGCTTAGTGGCCTGACAAGAGACTGGCTGCAGGAACCACTGCGGTCCCCTTGCACGTGACTGTCCTCAGCTCCCAGGGGAAACAGCCCCGCTGCTCTCATCTGATGCTGAGGTGCAGCACTGCATCTGTTGCCCATCCCCACTTGTTCAGCAGCAAATCAGTTAATTTTCCAAGCGACACAGTCTATTGAACACTTCCTTAAGTTAGGGCACCGGAGGCGTGATTTAGATTAAGGGTCAAGTTCCGTCTGCAGGGAAGACACTTAAAATGTGCAGCGTGTGTGCTGACAAACCTGCTCATCTCACCAGAAGGCAAATAAATCTGCCTTCTTGGAAGAGAATTTCTTCCTAAACCTGGGGACCATTTCAGGCTTTGCTGGGGTGCAGAGCCGCTCCATCGTGAGAGGAGGAAGGAGCTGCGGCCGGATGGAGGCGGGAGCAGTAGCTGAGCAGAGCTGACTCCTCAGGCACCGGGTGGTGAATGACCACGGTCTCACGACCCGAATGCAGAGCGGTGCAGTGGAGGTCTCTGGGCGGATGGGGTAGGGGATGCTTCCTCTGGACATCTTTCTTATTCCTAGAAAACCTGTGTGATGTGCTTTTCAAGTCCGCTGTTCCAGAAGAGCAACTAAGCACGTGCTGAACTTTGATCGTGCCAGTGTTGGCATTAAAAAGTCACAAACCGACCCGAGTGCTCCGCAGGAGCTGGAGGCTGCCTGGGGAAGTTCCCTGCTTTTCAGTAAGGGGCACCTCGTTACACCCCATCCCGTTCTCATGGGCTTCATTAACTCAACGGCTCTTGTAGTCACTTTAGTTCAGCTCCGGTCGGATGCAACTGGCCCTCCAGCTGCTGAAATCCTGCCATGCGGCAACACCAGCTCAGTGCAGGCACAAGGCCCGTGGGCCAGAGCTGCCATGTCCCTGTTTGCCCGGGGAAGGAGGGAGGTGTCACGGAAGGGGCATGGAGAAGAGAGGACGCCAGTAGCTCTGCCACCAACCCACTGTCAACTCTTTCAAAAAAAATTATAGTCCGAGATGAAGGGGCCTTTTGCTTTATCTGGCTTTTTGCTTGAACTACCCTCACAATGTCTCCTCTTAGTTGGTGACTACGGGAGCAACCGCCCTGCTCCTGCAACTTTGTCGTTACTGGGAATCTCCTGTCTGCTGAGCTCAGTGTGAGTCCTGCTTAAAAAGCACGAGCAAGCTTTACAAGAGCTGCTGAAGCTTCACTGAATGGTAAAACTCAAAGAAGGAAGTGATGCTGTTTAGATACCTTGGTTTCTACTCCTTTTTTTCTTTTCTTTTTTTTTTTTTTTTAAGTAGGAATTCTACAGTTTCCTTTAGCAAAAACCTATTGCTGAACAAAGCTTGTTCAGAGACTTCCTTGTTGAGGGCCATAGGAGCTTCTTTTTGCAACAGCTACTTAGAATTTATTTCAAATACACCAAATACAATGAAAAATAGAAGAGAGACTGAAGTTCGGATAGAGCCTTCCTCTTTAATGTGCCTTCCTTAGTACCACAAAATGGCAGAAATCTGATTTCCCAGCACAAAACTGAGAAATGGGCTCTTTAGTTGTATGTCTACAGCTGCCTCCTCACCGTGCCTGTCCTTTGTGGGCACCCTTCAGGCTCCTTCAGCAGCCTCTGCACAGTAAGTCTCCCAGCGCTCATTCCTGGACCCTCTTGCTCTCTGCACCAGAGCGCCCAGCGCTGTGGTCCTGGTGGTGGAACGGTTGCGTTCCAGAGCTCGTTCATGGTCCCAGGCACCACCTCTCAAACTAAGCTTTTTCCCTCGGGTTTGGACCTTATCTTTATTTCTTTGCTTATGTCCCATTGGCCGTATTGTCCAAATGAGACGCACCTTGCGGTGCTTCCATGCCTGGCTTGTGCGAGCAGGGCTGGCAGGGAGGTGCGAGACAGCCAGGGGTGGGCAGGGCAGGGACCGCAGGAGCCGGTGTGCCGTGTCCGGATGAGTGGTGCCTCTCTGTGGGTTGCTCGCCAGAGCCAGCCCATGTGCTGCGGTTGCCGTGGGGCTGGGCAGCACTGCAGCCCCTTGGGTGGTGGCAAGGGCAACGCAGGGTCACCCTGTTCCCTGCACTGGAGGGACCTGGCTTTCCCCTTCTTCTCTCCATCCTGGTCCCTCCAATGCCAGTGGGCGGTGGTGGTGGGAGGAGAGCCAAGTGGTGGGCTGCAGCTGGGGACTGACCCCTCGGGAGAGCTTGGCAATTATGGCTCTGCCCTGAGACAAGGGAATCTGGGTCCCGCCACCAGCCCTGCAGGATCTGGGGGGGGTGTAATGCTACAGCCGCAGATGTGGCTCCTGCCGG